GGAAGCACAGACCCCCGTTGTCCAAAACCAACAACACCAGCAACTCCAAACTGTTTCCCAGGAAGCACAGACCCCCGTTGTCCTAAACCAACTACACCCGCAGCTCCAAACTGTTACCCAGGAAGTACAGACCCGCTTTGCCCTAAACCAACAACCCCGGCACCTCCAAATTGTTACCCAGGAAGTAGAGATCCAAGATGTCCCCAGACGACGTCCCCGAAACCAGTGTGTTACCCAGGGTCTCCCGATCCAAACTGTCCACAACCCTCACGGCCTACCACAATAAATCCTCCTACTTATTTGCCTCCTACAACGCCAGAACTCAAATGCTATGCCGGTTCTACAGACTCACGTTGTCCCAAACCAACTACTTCTGCCCCTCCTAGTTGTTATCCCGGAAGCACAGACCCGCGCTGTCCTAAACCAACAACTCCCGCACCTCCAAACTGTTACCCAGGAAGTACAGACCCGCGTTGCCCTAAACCAACAACTCCGGCACCTCCAAACTGTTACCCAGGAAGTACTGACTCACGTTGTTCCAAACCGACCCCTACTGCGCGTCCTAACTGCTACCCAGGAAGCACTGACCCCCGTTGTCCTAAACGAACAACTCCCGCACCTCTAAACTGTTACCCAGGAAGTACAGACCCGCGTTGCCCTAAACCAACAACTCCGGCACCACCAAACTGTTTCCCAGGAAGCACCGACCCGCGTTGTCCCAAACCGACCACTCCTGCGCGCCCTAACTGCTACCCAGGAAGCACAGACCCCCGTTGTCCAAAACCAACAACACCCGCACCTCCAAACTGTTTCCCAGGAAGCACAGACCCCCGTTGTCCTAAACCAACAACACCCGAACCTCCAAACTGTTTCCCAGGAAGCACTGACTCGCGTTGTCCCAAACCAACAACTCCGGCACCTCCAAACTGTTACCCAGGAAGTACCGACCCCCGTTGTCCTAAACCAACACCTCCCGCTACTCCAAAATGCTACCCAGGAAGTGCAGACCCCCGTTGTCCTAAACCAACAACTCCCGCACCTCCAAACTGTTACCCAGGAAGTACTGACCCCCGTTGTCCTAAACCAACAACACCAGCACCTCCAAACTGTTACCCAGGAAGTAGAGATCCAAGATGTCCCCAGACGACGTCCCCGAAACCAGTGTGTTACCCAGGGTCTCCCGATCCAAACTGTCCACAACCCTCACGGCCTACCACAATAAATCCTCCTACTTATTTGCCTCCTACAACGCCAGAACTCAAATGCTATGCCGGTTCTACAGACTCACGTTGTCCCAAACCAACTACTTCTGCCCCTCCTAGTTGTTATCCCGGAAGCACAGACCCGCGCTGTCCTAAACCAACAACTCCCGCACCTCCAAACTGTTACCCAGGAAGTACTGACCCGCGTTGTCCCAAACCGACCCCTACTGCGCGCCCTAACTGCTACCCAGGAAGCACAGACCCGCGCTGTCCTAAACCGACAACTCCCGCACCTCCAAACTGTTACCCAGGAAGTACAGACCCCCGTTGTCCAAAATCAACAACACCCGCACCTCCAAACTGTTTCCCAGGAAGCACTGACCCGCGTTGTCCCAAACCGACCACTCCTGCGCGCCCTAACTGCTACCCAGGAAGCACAGACCCCCGTTGTCCAAAACCAACAACACCCGCACCTCCAAACTGTTTCCCAGGAAGCACAGACCCCCGTTGTCCTAAACCAACAACACCCGCACCTCCAAACTGTTTCCCAGGAAGCACTGACTCGCGTTGTCCCAAACCGACCCCTCCTGCGCGCCCTAATTGTTATCCCGGAAGCGCAGACCCGCGTTGCCCCAAGCCAACTACACCTGCTCCTCCAAACTGTTACCCAGGCAGTACCGACCCCCGTTGTCCTAAACCAACACCTCCCGCTACTCCAAAATGCTACCCAGGAAGTGCAGACCCCCGTTGTCCTAAACCAACAACTCCCGCACCTCCAAACTGTTACCCAGGAAGTACTGACCCCCGTTGTCCTAAACCAACAACACCAGCACCTCCAAACTGTTACCCAGGAAGTAGAGATCCAAGATGTCCCCAGACGACGTCCCCGAAACCAGTGTGTTACCCAGGGTCTCCCGATCCAAACTGTCCACAACCCTCACGGCCTACCACAATAAATCCTCCTACTTATTTGCCTCCTACAACGCCGGAACTCAAATGCTATGCCGGGTCTACAGACTCACGTTGTCCCAAACCAACTACTTCAGCCCCTCCTAGTTGTTATCCCGGAAGCACAGACCCGCGCTGTCCTAAACCAACAACTCCCGCACCTCCAAACTGTTACCCAGGAAGTACAGACCCGCGTTGTCCAAAACCGACCCCTCCTGCGCGCCCTAACTGCTACCCAGGAAGCCCAGACCCGCGTTGTCCCAAACCAACAACACCCGCTCCTCCAAATTGTTACCCAGGAAGCACAGACCCGCGTTGTCCAAAAGCAACAACACCCGCACCTCCAAACTGTTATCCAGGAAGCACAAATCCGCGTTGTCCCAAACCAACAACTCCCGCACGTCCTAACTGTTATCCCGGAAGCAGAGACCCGCGTTGTCCCAAACCAACAACTCCTGCCCCTCCAAACTGTTACCCAGGAAGCAGAGACCCACGTTGTCCTTCACTAACTACACCCGCACGACCTATTTGTTATCCCGGTTCAAATGATCCTAATTGCCCTCAATCTTCAACCTCAACATCCGTTGCACCTACCACTCAAAATGCTCCTAATTGCTATCCGGGCAATAATGACCCAAGGTGCCCTCAACCTAGCTCAACACCCAGTTCTTGCTACCCGGGATCCAAAGATCCTAATTGTCCCCAACCGTTCGCTCCAAGCAGCACCAATCCACCATCCACGTACTTGCCACCTTTTCCTGCGGAAAACGAAATAAAATCTGCACGAACAAGTAGACTGGCAGAGAAAACTTTGGATTACTACGACGAGTCGTTATTAGACGTTGGTGAGTGTTATTATTGACGAGTATCACTGTGTATCGAACTATAAATTTGATATTTAATCTTTAATTTCACATTTTCAGATAATTTCGAGTTTACACGTACCAAACCTAGGTCGAGAATTACCAGAGATATCAGTAAAGTTAACGACGATTTAATAGAGACGTCTACTGGACTAGGAGTATTACACATTGCAATCGGCGGATGCACCTTCCTTGTTGTTTTGTCTATCGCATTCGCTGTCTACGTATACAAGAACAAACACTCAAGTCCGACGAACCTGAGAGAACACCCTTGCTAATTTATAGTATAATGAATCCTATTGTGATATAACACGCCCTCAGCTATGATAACTCGATTTTATTTTTAATTGTAATTTTGTATACTTATATGCTGTAGGGATTAACTTATAAAATATTTTGATCACTGCCTTCTTAGCTTTATAACATTATTTTTTTTCAGGCGCTTGTTATAAGATGCCTATTTTATTTTTAAATAAAATAGTGCCATAGAATCAAACTGTAGACTCAGTAGTATATCAAAATTTCAACGAAACATCTTTGTACAATTATTGAAATACTACTTTGAAAACATTATTTGATGAAACACAGAATATGTTTGTAAATATTATCCCTAGTCAAAATGTTTTACAGTGAAACGAAATTACGATAAAATAACTTTAAATGTGTATTTTTTTTATGTTTTACTCATTTTGTGATATTCTTATTTTTTGTATATAATTTGCCAGTATATTATTGTGGCCATTGTACTATATTTCATAGTTATTAACTCAACAATTTAAACGCCTGCCACATTGTAGGTAGTAAAAATATTTGATTACTTTTCTGTATAAATATTTTTACGATCAAAAATGTTCAGACGGAAAAATTATATAAATGAATTGTTTGAAGAATTGCTCATTGAGTCAATTCAAATAAACATTCTATGAATGTTATCGATTGTTTTAATTATCACCTTTTTTCTTTACATATAATTTAAACCCAGTTTCTAAAAAAACGTCATTAACCTATAATTTAAAGTGACACCCCTTATAATTTATCTGTTTTAATTAATTTTAAAAATAATTTTAGCAAACTTTGTTCACTAACAAATACCTAGTGATTAGTTGTACGTAATTATTGACTTTATACTTTTGAAACTAACTAAAATTATCGTAAATAATTCTCTCACCTGGTCTACCATGATGCCAATAACATTAGAGTGTTCCCCGACATATGATTTGCACACTACACACTTCACAAATGATTACTCATCACAATAGTATACATATTAAAACTACGTTAACATGTAACGTCTCTGGGTTCGCTTATAAAACGCTTTATGCAATGGCTGCACATTTATTTCAAACACTCACATATTATAGTCACACTATTCACCTTGTTTTACTAATGAAAACTCCTTTCGTTAATTTCGTATGATATTAATTAATTATTTTTAACGGACCATTTTTAACTATGAAATAAATATTAATTCACCCAATTTAGTTTTTAATATTATAACATCTGTCAAAACATTTTCTTTTTTCGACCAAGTGGTCGTGGAGTGGCTGGTGAGAAATAGTTTTCTCACCAGCCAGTTCACGTTGTTTACACGTGACAATAACATAAAACTTATTGAAACTCCTTGTGTATATCTACGTCCAAATTCCAACAAAGGTGATAGATAAATGGATAAAAAATGTAAAAACCATTTTTTACTCAAGATTTTTAATCGGATTCAATACAAACATTCATCTTCATAGTTAAAAGAAAATCATTTACATAATCTGTTTCTTAAGTGGATAAGCATTTTGGCAAGATAATAAAAAAAAACTTTTTAAAGACCAAAGCAAGATTTCAAGAGTTTGTTAAAACAATTCACATTTGTAAAACTGCAGTTGTTAAAGAAAGTGCAGATAACAAACAATGTTTTATAATTTGTTCATATATTATTAATTAAATATAAAAAATAGGACACTTCAATAAACTTAAAAATAATTTCCCATAAGTATAGTTAATTTCAAAAGACATATAAACTCAACCGAGTTTAATTATACATTACAATAAAATCGTTACAAATAGAGAGCTCAAATTTTCATTTATTCGTAGTAAAACAGTTTTTAGGTTATCTGTCAATAAACTTTAACCTAAGTGGTCCATTTGGTGTGTACATAGGATGTATATGATAGTCCAATGGCTCGTGGTGATACTCCATCTTGAAAGCTTGCACGATCTGAAAATAATTATAAAATTCAAACAAAATAGAAGATTGCCAAAGAGTTAAAGGTTAAAACACGGCATCAAGATAATAAAAATGTAGAACTTCAAGTTAATAATTTATCAATAATCAGACAGTGTAAGTCAAATTTTACAAGCGTCCTGCTACTGTTCTCATAAAGTTGACCGAAATTCAAAAACAAAAAACAGTCAGTTGTCGCAGTAATTATTATAAAAATTGTGAAGATGAAAATAGCTTTTTATAGATAAAAAGAATAGTACTATCATTCATTACGTGAGATAATGTTTAATATTTCAATAGCCAAAAATTAAATATTTTCTCACTAAAACCTTTTTTATTAAACTAAGCTATCACTTTAATTTTCACGTAAACTTAAATTAGTTCTTAATTTTATAATTAAATTAGTAGTTTCAATTCACCTTGCAAAGAGCTATATGCATTTCAAGTTCAGCAAACCGACGACCAAGACACATCCTCTTGCCAAAGCCAAAGGGTAAAGACGCAAAGGCATGGTGTTTGTACGTCGACCTCTGGATCCAACGCTCAGGTCGGAACTCGGAAGCGTCAGAAAAATATTCCTCTGAGTTGCCCATCACGTAGTGTTGGAAGATGACTTGCGTCTAAAAATATAATAAAATATTTAAAAGGATTGTTTAATTTCTGCTCCAATCACCATATATCACCACCGTAATCACCAAGAAAATAATTGCAACATTTTCCTTAAAAAAATTAAGTATAAATTTACCAGCTTTTACCTATTTTCAATTTAAAAAAACGGAGCACACTAAATAAAACTATCAATGAAATAAAACCTCTTTCTACATATAATATACAACCTCCATGGTTTAATATGCAGCCATATAGATTCAAATAGAAAAAAAACAAATGACAATCGATATGGAATACTTGTGAGGTAGTTATAATTGGTAGTTAAGTTGTATGTGACGTGTGATCGTTTTTTGCAGTGTTTTATTGTTTGTTTAATTTATGTATGTGAATGAATGCATTAACTTTGACATGTTCTTAAGCAGTTTAATACTTCATACAGTTATTTCTACATCACGTACAGATTTTATTTACTGATTGCGATTTTAACGAGGAATTTACGAAGTCATCAATTGGTAAGTTATATTTAATTATTGTAGTATTCTTAATAACCTAAAAATGTAAGTGTTTGAAGATAAAAATAGTTTACTATCATATATTTATACACTTACGATTTAAGAACACAAACCGTCATATTCCAAATAACAAAGAAGGAGATTTTGAATTCGAACCGCATTTATGTATGTTTTAGAATTTACTCGTCTAGACTTTACGTCATTTGCGTATTGATAAAACATATTTGAACAATATAGATAATACGTACCCCTTTCGGTATATTATAACCACAAATAACGGTATCTTTCGTCAATTGTCTACCGTTTCCGATTACAACGGGATACATTCTGAAACATAATATTACTTTAAGAAAAAATAATTTTTATATAAAAAATGTTTACAAGATAATCTCGATTGTATTCTTTAGATATTCTTAGGAAGAATACTAACCAATTAATCCTGGAAATAGATTAATTCTGGAAGATGTGAGAATTTATCCTACCGAAAATGGTTACTTATTCTTATTGTATTTACCTTAAAACCTCTTTAACACAAGCCTTTAAATAAGGCATTTGGTTGATATCGCCCGGAGCTAGCGCTTTTCCTTGTAACACTTTTGTGATCTCTTCATGCAGCCTCTCTTGAACATGAGGTCTAGAAGCTAGTTGATACAACGTTGAAGCAACAGCGTTCGATGTCTGAAATTCATACAATTAACTTATTAAATATAAAAATAGTCTTTTAAAATTAGCCTGTTAATATATTCTTATTAAGTTGAGAAGTAAATTGAATTTTATTCATTGGCAAAATAATTTATTATGCTCTCTTACATCACACCAACGTGAAACACAGTATCTTGATCCGCTAGACTCTTCTGTTGTGTTCGCGTTATTTGGAATCATAAATTAAGAATGGTTGCCACGTAAAACAGATTTAGAGATAAAAGAATTATTGATAGCTCAGGACTGAAAAGAGGGATTACTTAGGAAATAATGTTTAATCTTACTAATAATATAAATGGGAATGTTCAGATGGATGGATGGATGATTATTTGAAAGTATCTCCAGAACGGCTGTATGGATATCGCTGATATTTGGCATTGATGTAGAACATAGCTTGGAAGTTTTCATTTTTTTTTAATCTTGCGGATCGGAATCGCGGGCGACAGCTAGTATTCTATAAATATATAACTTCATACCGTATCAATTCCCACGAGGAAGAGGTCCAAGGCAGCAACTGCGGCGACTCTAGGCCCCGCCGCCGTAACCAGGTCTTGTAACAATGATTTGCTGCCACCGTTCGCCTCGCACTCTTTGAGCGCGCGCTCCACGTGGCTTAGAGTTACACTGAAATCAGATTTATGATTATAGATTACTATGGGTAGAACTTGCCTCTAACGATAACTGCGCCTATATGAACTGCGCCATAACCAAAAATTGTTGTTACATATCTTTAGAACTTGGCATGGATTTACTAATTAAATTATCTCCAAAGTCATGTCCAAAATAAATAATTTAATTCACTATTGTCGAACAAACAGTACTTAAAAAGATTCAGTTTGAATTTGTTGTTAATTAAAAAAACACAAAACGAATTCATCGCCCTATTGATAAAAGTTGACTAGCCACTTACCTAAGAATCGTATCTAGAGCGGCGACATATCGCCTGAACATCGCAGTGGGGTAGATCCTCCACCACGGAGCTCGTAGTTCCAGCTCACCCACGCTGATGAAAAAGGTATGAACCGCGTCGATAAGACGCTGGCTCTCTGAACCTTCGACTGATTCGAAGCATCCCAATCTAGTGTCTAACGCTATTAGACCTAGAGCTATGAACACAACAAGAAAACTTTATCGCATATGATTTTGGTAGTAGAAATACAGTATTGAATATTTTGTTAATATCACATATCAATTTTAAACGCGATAAAACGCGAGGAAAGCCACGATTAATATATAGTTAGAATTAAAATATCAGTATGTATTAATTAGACGTATTTTTTTACTTACATTCTAAGGACCATTTGTGAACTTCATTTAAAAAGTCACCCGGCGTTTCAGATTTCTCGTCTCGTATCTCACGAATTCTAAAA